AAATAAATAGACTTCAAAAATATCCACCACTTCCGCTAACAAATGAAGACAAAAACCAAATTTCAAATGCAACCATTTGTCATATTTGTGCAACTGAGTTGGCAAAACATTTTTATGATTTTGATTGGTACACTGGTAGTTTTATAGGTGTTGCTCATGAATCATGTTGTTCGAAGATCAGAACACCTAGTTATATACCAATATTTTTACACAACCTTAGTCACTATGATGCTCATTTTATTGTTCACGCGTTAAACTTTTGTGATGGTGAAGTCGAAGTTATCCCTCAAAATAAAGAAAAATATATATCCTTTTCCAAAAAATTAAAAGTGAATAACCACGAAATTATATTGAGATTCTTAGATTCATTTAAGTTTTTATCGTGTAAATTAGAAGAATTGGCCAAAAATCTCAGTAATGATCAATTTCAAGAATTACGTAGAAATTACCCTAATGATGAAGATTTCTTTCGTTTAAAACGGAAAGGTGTTTATCCATATGAACTTATGACTAAATATGATAGTTTAAGTCTAACATCGCTCCCTGAACAAAAATGTTTTTATAGTTCACTCACAGATTCACATATTTCAAATGATGATTACAATCATGCTAAAGATGTTTGGGAACATTTTGGGTGTTGTAATATGCTAGATTATTCAAACCTATATTTAAAAACAGACGTTTTACTTTTATCCGATGTATTTGAAAACTTTAGAAAGTTATGTATTAATACATATGATTTAGACCCTGCCCATTATTACACAGCACCCGGTTTAAGTTGGGATGCAATGTTAAAATATACAAAAATAGAATTAGAACTTTTAACAGATTATGAGAAAATTGCATTTATTAGATCAGGTATCAGAGGTGGTGTATCTCAATGTAGTAATCGTTATGCTAGAGCTAATAACAAATACATGGAGGATTATGATACAGGGAAACCAAATTCATATATCACATATTTTGATGCCAACAATTTATATGGTTGGGCTATGTCTCAATATCTTCCTACTGGTGGATTCGAATGGGTAAATCCAAATACAGAATTTAATGTGTCTAAGACATCAGACTTCGGTTTTATTTTAGAAGTTGATTTGGAATATCCAGATGAACTTCATGATTTACATTCGGACTTTCCTTTATGTCCAGAAAACATTTGTGTAGGCAATATTAATGAGAATAAACTAGTCCCAAATTTAAATAATAAAGATAAATATGTAATTCATTACAGAAATTTAAAGCAGTGCATAGAAATGGGGGTTAAATTAACTAAAATTCATAGAGTTTTAAAATTTAAACAGTTTCCCTGGTTGAAGATGTACATAGATCTAAACACAAAATTAAGAACTTTAGCAAAATCAGATTTCGAAAAAGATTTTTATAAATTAATGAATAATTCAGTCTTCGGTAAGACTATGGAGAATATTGAAAAAAGGGTTAACATAAAATTAGTTACGCACTGGGAGAACCAGGGTAAAGCTTTAGGTGCTCAAGATCTAATCGCTAAATCACAATTTCATAGCCTTTCAATATTTTCGGAAAACCTAGTTGCGGTTCAGTTGCGAAAAACGAAGTTAATATATAACAAACCAATTTATTTAGGGTTTTGCATTTTAGATATTTCAAAAACATTAATGTATGATTTTCATTATAACTATATGATTAAAAAGTTTAGTAAAATCAAATTATTGTATACAGATACGGATAGTTTAATATATCATATATTTACAAATGATTTTTACACTGATATAAAACCTGACCTTTCATCATACTTTGATACCTCAGATTATGATACAAATAATATTTTTGAATATCCAAAATTAAATAAAAAGAAATTAGGTTTTTTTAAAGATGAAAATAATGGTAAAATCATGAAAGAATTTGTGGGTTTACGATCCAAAATGTACGCTTTTAACTTAGAGAATAAGACTATAGCCAAGGCAAAAGGGGTAAATAAATGTATCACTAAAAAGATGACAATGAATAGTTATAAGTCTTCTCTATTTAATAAAAAAGTGCAATATTATAGCATGCTTAGATTTAAATCAATTAAACACACAATTTTCACACAAAAATTAAATAAGATAGGTTTATCATATAATGACACAAAGAGACATATTTTAGATAATAATATTGAAACATTAGCTTGGGGTCATTATAAACTGCGTTAAGTGTTGATAGTTTTTACTTTTATGTCTACGTTTAAGAAAAATTTATATTGATTGTAAAATTATGATAATACTATAATATGACGTAGTTTATTACATATTTAAACATTGTTTTATTGTAAATGATTTAAGTTAATTGTTGTTTCTATTTACTTGAGGTTGAGTTAATTGTAAAATTATGATGTACTAATTGTTGTTTCTATTTATTTGAGGTTGAGTTAATTGTAAAATTATGATGTACTAATTGTTGTTTCTATTTATTTGAGGTTGAGTTAATTGTAAAATTATGATGTACTAATTGTGTTAGAAATAGTATACAGATAATTCTGTTTTATATAATTTTTGGAATATATATTAATTGTTTACACCAACACTTTCATTTTTTATTTCACCCCTTTGAACTTTAGACGTGTGTTATGTTTCACTTTATCCATCCGTTCACTGCTATTGTGGCAGGACCAAGTGGGTGTGGGAAGTCAAATTTTGTAACAAATTTCATAAAATCAGTTACAGAAATATGTAATTGTGATTTTAATCAGATCACATGGTGCTTTGATGAAATGCAACCATTATATAATTTACCAAATGTTAACTATCATCAAGGAATTCCAAATCTTAATATGTTTGATGGTGAAAACCCACATCTTGTTATTATTGATGATCTAATGAGAGAGTCCGATGGAAGAATTGTGGATATATTTACAAAAGGTAGTCATCACAGGAATCTTAGTGTATTTTATCTAACACAAAATTTATTTCATCAGGGTAAAGGACAAAGAGACATATCTTTAAACTCAAGTTATATAATATATTTTAAAAACCCTCGAGATAAAACTCAAATAAGATATTTAGCAAGACAAGTATCACCAGATAACCCAAAATTCATTGAAAATGCCTACAGGGATGCAACTCTAGAGGCGCATGGATATTTAATGGTAGATTTAAAACAGAATACCAATGATTTTTGTCGTATCAAGACAAATGTCTTTCCATTTAATGGTTTCTGTACAGTCTACGTCCCCACAAAAGAGTTTAAATACACCAAGAATCAAACAATTGAAATCATTGCTAAATGATGCATCGTCGACTCACAACGTATAAACATTTGCTAACCGCTTTGCATACGCTTAAACCAAAATATCAAAGAGCATTACTTAAAACGTGTGATGAAGAAGAAATTAACTGTATTTGTGAGTGTATTCCTAACGTTTTACAAGGAAAAGTACCTCTTAAAGATCAGGATAAACAAAAATTGAATAAACATAAAAACATACTCCGTAAACTAGTACGTAAGTGTAAACATAAACTAAGAAAAAATATAATTATACAAAAAGGAGGGGCTTTCTTACCAACAATATTAAGTGCAATATTGAGTGGATTAGTGAGTGGACTAGCCAGTTAACATGGAAAATGCAAAGAAAATGATACTTATCGAACCTGGATTGATTGAAAAATTAAAACAAGAAAATAAGGTTAATAGTAATTTATCTTGATTAGATATTGAAATGCAAAATATTATGAATAGTAAGACGGAAGACCGAAAGAAATGGATATTATATTTACAAACACTGCAAAGATACCTTCATTTTACCGAAGAGGATCGTCAACCACTCAAATTACCAATTTATTCTGATACATCTAATGAAGATTCAAATGAGTCAAAAATTGGTTTTAAAAATAAAGATAGAGATCTAAAAACTTCAGTTGATATTGAATCTTTGCTGGAGGAGAATCGATCCATTAAAAGTAAAGAAAATGATGAAAATCCACTTTACACACCAGCTCAAATACTCAGTTTAATACCAAAAACTTATCATAAAAAAGGGCAGTTATTATTAAACTTAGTTGAAACAAGTAAAAGTAAAATACATTGGGATAACGAAGGTACAGTCATAATTGATAGTGAAAAAATTCCTGGAAGTAATATTGTTGATTTAATAAATGATTCACTAAGACCCCTAAAAAGAAGTGATCCGGTAGGGTGGGTTAGATTTGCTGAAGCATTAAAAGATATTAAAGTACCACTTACTTATATTGGAAATCCAAGGAGATGTGAGTTTATTAACCAACTTCAAGCAAAAGATCTGAACAAACCCTCTGAGATTGAAGTTCAAGAGTTTTCTACACCGTGCAGTAGAGATAAAAAGTCTACAACTAAAATACGTAAAGGACTTGAGTGGGAAAAATGGACTCCGTACTAGAAGAAATTAACAGGATTTATTATGATCCATCTAATCCCGCTGGTTTTGGTAGTATTGATAAATTATCAAAAGCCATGAAGGGTAAAATGAATAAAAAGCAAGTAAAGGAATGGTTAAAATCACAAGAAACATACACATTACATAAACCCATTCGAAAAAAATTCCCGCGTAATAGGTACATTCTATCAAATATTAATGAACTGTGGCAAGCTGATTTAAGTGATATGCGAACTTATTCTCAATATAATGATGGTTTCAAGTATATACTTTGTATTATTGATGTATTTAGTAAATATGCTTTTGCAAGACCAATGAAAAAAAAAACTCAGAAACAACTAAAGAATGTTTTGAAAGTATATTTACTGAAAGTAATTTAACACCTACTCACATACAATCCGATAAAGGTACAGAATTTGTTTCAAAAGATGTACAAAAATACTTTAAATCCAAAAAGATTAATTACTATACCACTAACAATCCTGACATTAAGGCCAGTATTGTTGAACGATTTCAAAGAACACTAAAAATGAAAATGTGGCGTTATTTCACTCATAATAATACTTATAGATATATAGATGTTTTACAAGATTTAATATACTCTTATAATCACAGCTTTCACTCTAGTATTAAGATGTGCCCATGTGATGTAAATTCCAACAATATTATGACAGTTTGGACTAATCTTTATGATAGACGGTCAAAAAAACTTTCTTTAGAAAATCCTAAACCAAATTTCAATGTGGGTGATTATGTTCGAATAACTAAATATAAACATGTATTCCAAAAAGGATATGAATCAAATTGGAGTGATGAAATATTTATTATATCTTCGATAATTGATAGATCTCCATGGGTTGTTTATACAATAACAGATTTACAAAATGAACCAATAATTGGTACTTTTTATGAAAGAGAATTACAGAAAATCACTTACAACCCCACCTCACAACATAAAATAGATAAAATAATTGACACTCGTTATTCAAGTAACAGAAAAGAAGTATTAGTGAAGTGGAAAGGTTATCCAGATAAATTTAACAGTTGGATTTTAGCTTCTAGTTTAAAAGAAATATGAATAAAGAAAGTTTCTATTTAACTTTGCTCAGCAATAGTTCAATGGAATACTTTCCTGATAACAAGACCACAAATTTTTCAACGAAATTACCAATAGCTATAAAATTAGAAGGTGAATGGTCGGTTGGAGTTGTCGAGTTTCAATATCCATGTACCATGTTTACTGTTCAAGACCATGAAAATGTTATATACATTACAAAATCTATGTTAATGCCTAATGAAGATAAGCCATCCACAGTGTACTACAAAAAACATATTCCAGCTACCAACTATGATAACGTTGAGCATATTTTAAGAGTGTTAAATGGTATCGGAGAGAACTTGAAATTTCGCTATGATGAAATAACAAAATTTGTGTCTATTTCGGTATTGGATAAAAATATAACATCCGTAACATTATCACCCAAATTAAGTTTACAGCTAGGTTATGAACGAAATAAAAATCTCCTAGAGAGAAATTTTGGAAAGTGTCCTGCTAATTTACACTTAGGGGTAACCCTAAGTGTAAATTAGCCGGACACTTTCCAAAATTCTCAACTATTTCTATATTGCGACATTATCGATCCTCAGATTGTGGGTGATGTTATGACCCCTTTATTAAGAGTCATTTCATTAGATCCTACAAAATACATTTATGGTGCAAATAAAATGCACGTTTTCTCTCAACCTCACTACTTACCTGTTATGCGAAGAGAGTTCGATACGTTGGAAATAGTTATAAGATCGAGTACAGGACAAAAAATACCATTCCAGTTTGGAACCGTGTGTATTAAACTACATTTCCGAAAATTATAATAATGAATTCTCTTCGTGATCATCATAAATGTCCATATGAAAATTATTATACACATCAAGCTGGATCAGGAGTTGGAGTAATTTATAAGGGTTCACCATATCAACGCGGTCATGGTATTGGGAGCTTCTTAGGGGGGTTATTCAGATCAGTTTTACCTTTACTTTCAAGTGGTGCTCGAGTGATTGGTAAGGAGGCATTAAGCGCTGGAGTAGGACTTTTATCGGATATGGTTCAAGCCCGTCCTATGGAAGCCTCAATAAAAGATCGTCTAAAGCAAGTTAGTACGAATTTAAAACGAAAGGCTGATGAGAAAATTGATCAATTTAACATGACTGGATCTGGGTATAAAACTAAAAGAAAACGATTGACATCGTTCATTCCACCATTAACTGCTAAAGTGAAAGCTGCGAAAAAACTTAGTCTAAAACCAAAAAATATCAAAGATATATTTTCAAACTAAATATGTCTTTCCTTCATAATCATTCTTGCGAGTGCGTTAAGTCAGAATTGGATTTGTTTGCACTACCGTCTACACAAACTAGCATTGAAAATGGATTGTGGATTCATTATAACCCAATTTCATCTCTTGGTGATGATGGACCTATCGAGTTTCAAGTTCCTGGGACCGGCGATGACTACATAGATTTGTCTCATACATTACTCCACATAAAGGCAAAAGTATTAAATCAAGATTCAACTAACTTGGTATCTACTACAATAGTAGCACCTGTAAATAATTGGCTGCATTCACTTTTTAGTCAAATTGATGTTTATTTAAACCAAAAACTTGTATCACCACCTAATAATACCTATGCATATCGAGCATACATGGAAACCCTTTTAAACTATGCCCCTGCTGCTAAACAATCTCATCTTACTTGTAGTCTTTGGTATGAGGATACAGCAGGAAAAATGGATTCTACAGATGGTAAAAACATAGGATTTGTTAAAAGACAGGAATTGATTAGTGAAAGTAAGGAAATAGAAATGATTGGTCATCTTCACGGTGACATTTTTAACCAAGATAAATTTTTAATTAATGGTGTTGAAATGAGTGTTAAATTGGTTCGATCAAGAGAGAGTTTTAATTTAATTGTTGGGTCGAACGATGTAAAGTTTAAAGTTTGCATTACGGACGCAACTTTTATTGTGCGACGAGCACGAATTAATCCAAGTGTATTACTCGCACATCAAAAAGTTTTAGCTTCTACCACTGCTAAATATCCTATTACTCGAGCTGAAGTAAAAGTTTTAACAATTCCTTCAGGTGTTCAAGGAAAAACTCTTGATAATATATTTTTAGGACAGGTACCGAAAAGATGTATAATTGGATTTGTGAACAATTCTGCATTTAATGGTTCCCTTACTAAAAATCCATTTAACTTTGAAAACTATGGTATTAATTCTTTCAGCTTATATATTGATGGTCAACAAATACCTTCAAAAGCTTTGCAACCATCTTTTAATAATAGCATATTTACATCAGCATATCATACTCTATTCTCGGGAACTGGTATTCACTTTCTTAATGAAGGAAATGGAATCTCTTGTGAACAGTATGGCAAAGGTTACTGTCTATTAGCATTTGACTTAACTCCTGATTTATCAGCTAACTCATCAACTCATTGGAATCTCATAAAGCATGGTAGTGTAAGAATAGAAGTACGATTTGAATCCTCATTAATACAAACAATTAACTGTATAGTTTATGCTGAGTTTGATAATATTATTGAGATAGATAAAAACAGAAATGTTACTGTAGACTATAGTAGTTAAGGTTATAATATGTGTTGTGTGTTAGATTTTATGTGTTATGTGTAATGCATTTTGTGTGTATGTAACTATGTGAAACGTTATAAAATTAAATAAAACAAATTGTATGCAATATATATTTTTTATTTCTTTATAAATCTTCTATTTAATCTAATACAAAACACTGTTCGAGTTGAAATTTTACATAAGCACACTGACTAAACCACTGAACATGCTGCTGCCAAGGATCATCATCATCTTCCCAATCTTTTAAACCACCACCACAATGGAAACACTTGGTCCCGTCTGCATGGCCAGTATAAAAGAAACCAGCTTCGGCAAGATCTTCAGGTTTCTGTCGCATAACTAGAGGCCAGTTTTCGAAACTAAGCAAACGGCTAGATTTTGAACTGAAGAATGGATATTCAGCTCTTGAGTACTGCATACTCTTCTCGTTTTCTTCTCCACTCGGTGTTGTAGTTTTGTTATTCAATGATGTGTTTTGTACACGTATGCCACACTCATCTCTTCCTTCCGCTCTTGTCTTCCTGTAATTGAAGTAAACAGAATCACATTCACTAATGATCAGCTAATGACTGTCATTGTTAAAAAAGTATTTTTTAACTTTTTCACTTTCTGCTATTGTCTTTGTTATATTGTATACGAGGGCGTTTGTATTGTCGTAGATGCTATCCTTATTAGTCTTTACGTAATATTTAATTCTCGTGGAAGCATGTTTCCAATGATCAGTAGTTGGAATCTTGGATAGCTTCTTCATATCGTACATTTCAATTTTGATGAGATGCGTCGCTTGGTCTCCGTCGTCAGAATTAGTAGAAATGTATGATACACCATCTCTAGCGGCTCGTGCTACGGTTGATGATATCAGCTTCCTCTTTTTTATTTTTGATTCAGCTTCAAAAAAATGATCAATCGATTGCGATTTTCTTTTTCCACCATCGCATGTGTTATTATTAATGACGAGGTTATCACTCTCTTCTTGAGGGGAGAGTGGCGAGTAGTAATACTGTTTATAGGTATCTTCATCGAAGCTCAATGATTTCTGCAACAACACAGTTATCATGTTAATATCAATTTGTTAACACTTAATCATAAAAGTTAAAAAAGTTAAAGTTACAGCCTATTAAAGTCCACTGCTGAACATAGGCCTCCTCTCATTTCTGAGAGGGTTTTAGAGCAAGGAAATGTCCGCCGCGCTCCCTCAATGTGTGTTGGTGAACTTCACATGCCTTCGAAATTTTCTCAGACATGCAGGTTTCCTCACGATGTTTTCCTTCACCACCAAGCACGTGGTAATAAGCACTTAAAATTGCTATTAACAATTTAATTGGTGCTGGCGGGGATCGAACCCGGGTCGCGTACTGTGAAATTTACAGCTAGCGCTAACCATCTGAGTTACCACGGCTTAATCATATACATACACAATATTTAAATAAAATAATACACACACACATGAAAATAACAGAAAAAAAGTAATTTAGTCAATAGAATAAACACTTACATCCATAGCCTTTGGTGTATTGAAGTAACACAAATGTACTATTGATAGATCCACTGTAGCCAAACGACCGTACACTAACTCGATGACTGCGTTTGTTGGTCTTATATACCACCAGTACGTAAAAATTCTAATCTAAAGTATTTCCGTAATGAGTTGATAATTACTTTATGCGTCAACCAGTTTATCTCACATTTCCGTTGCCTATCTCAACATTTCTTCGTATTGTGTTTTGTTTGGTGATCAATGACTCAAGTACGATTTGTATAACACAAAAATGCAATTTAATATTTAGAAACATATCAGTTTATCTCACATTTCCGTTGCCTATCTCAACATTTCTTCGTATTGTGTTTTGTTTGGTGATCAATGACTCAAGTACGATTTGTATATCACAAAAATGCAATTTAATATGTAGAAATCACTATAATTGACCATTCCTATGTTATTCATTGAGTAGCTAGGTACTGTAATAATCTACTAATAGCAGTAATATCATGGATACACTAGATGTACAACAACATCTGAAAAAGATTCACCCCAGTCTAGAAAATAATGTTTATGCAGCTAATAGACTGCCTATGTATACCCACGTACCAACGTATATAATATGTAATTTGTATACAGATGATAAACCAGGGTCACATTGGGTAGCTTTATATATCGATACGAATGACGTCGGTCAATATTTTGATTCATATGGACGATCACCTGTACGATATCATCTAGAGTTTTTAAAAAGGAATTGTAAAAGATGGAACTGGAATGTTGATAGGATTCAGAATGAGTGGACTTCAGTTTGTGGCGAATATTGCTTAATGTATTTACTATATAAGTTTCAAGGATGTTCAATACATAGTTTTACGAGTATATTTACAAGGAACACATTGTACAACGATATTTTAGTGGATGAGATGTTTCGCTCCTATTTTATAGATAATAATTAATAAGATTTTGTATTTTATAAATAAAAATTGTAACAAAATTATGTAATGTGTTTTATTGATGATTCAGATTAGCGTTGTATAAACAAAGAATTATAATAAACAATAGCACTGATATAGTCGACGCACACGCTGCAATGAGGGTGATTAATGAACAATAGAACAATAGAAATAGGAACAATGGGACGCTAATGACGGTGGAGGCCCTTACCGGATATCAATTAGATATTAGCTAATTGATCTACACATCTCCGGAACCGTGCATTCTACACAAAAATGGACCAAAACCTTTTTTTTTTTTTTTTTTTTTTTTTTTTTTTTTTTTTTTTTTTTTTTTTTTTTTTAGGATCGGGCGTCGACGAACGTCGTTGAACCACGTCTGACTCAGGTGGTCTAGAAGTGGTACAACTACACTACTTAGAAATGTACATCGTTCTTCAATCGATTTAAAATAAAAATTGTTATGTTCTTTGGTATCGGACCGCAAGAAATCTTTTTTGAACATTGTTTGCTCACTATTCTTGAATACTTTTGTTAAATCTATATCTCAATAAAATTTATTTATTTATTATTTATTCATTATTACTATTGAGAGCTTATCGCTTACTCTTGATTTGGCCCATCTTACAATAAACGTTTGACGTGATGATACTGAATAAAAGCGTAATTTTTTAGTTGTTCTTTTTTTAATACTAAAATTTTGTTGAATATAACTCTTTTATCGGTGAATCGCAACCCACTAAATAGAGTGACGATCTGGTAAGAGATACAGAAGCTGATGGATGTGTCTCAGGACCATGCTGCGTGGAATTCCTTCGGGGAGAGCTATATCCAGCAGAAGACTTATGAAGGGCTGGTGTGATGATGAATTACAGCCTTTGAAGATATAATAGAACTAGGGTTGCTTGTGTACAATAAAGTTTAAGTTAAGTGTCGATCTTTTATAATAGGCATGTGGTTGTTTAGGAAAAAAATACTGAAATCACCAAGAATTGCAGGTTTATTGGCGATTGTGTTACCAATAATTCTGCGCCTTTCTATCGCTGATCTGTTAATTTCTATTACGTCTGTTAATTATATAGTTTTACCACCGTACCTTAGGGACATCGGGATTTTCCTGACAGCTCTCCTCTTAGTCGATTAACAATAAATTTTTGATAGCCTGATTTTCTAATAATCAGAAAAAAGTGATTAACAGAATAAAATACATCGGAAACAAATTAAAAACTACAGTTTTATTAAAAATAGTTAAATTGTTTTCGTGATAAACTTAGAAATGAGGATATCCGCAGTAGAACCAGAGTAACCGACATAGCCCAACGGATTAGTCAGCTAAAGTGGCAGTGGGCCGGCCATATAGCTCGAAGAACCGACAACCGATGGGGAAGAAAGGTTCTCGAGTGGCAGCTTCGTACCGGTAGGCGAAGTGTAGGGCAACCCCCCACTAGATGGAGTGACGACCTGGTAAGACATGCAGGAAGTCGATGGATGCAGGTGGCTAAGGACCGTGTTTTGTGGCATTCCTTGGGGGAGGCCTATGTTCAGCAGTGGACTTATGAAAGTCTGTAATGATGATGATGATGATGAAATTTGTTTTACCTTTATACTCGTATCCAGTCACTCTATAATTTATTTGATTGAAAGCTTTTATCTTTTGATTGAGAAATGAGCCATAATTTTTTTAGTTTTAAAAAGTTTCTTTTCAGCTTAAGTACTACAAAATCACCGGCACTCCGATAGTTTTCCCAAACCTTTATTCATTAACTTGGGGCCTATGTGTATTTTCGTGGGCTCTAAGTATTGCTGTCATTCTTTCGCAACATTACCTACAAGAACTCTAAAAGTGTGGCACTCGTTTGCTTACTATTATATAATTACTATGTTTAACGGATTCTGTTCACTATTGTACAAAATATTTTCACTTACGTTTTCTATTTTACAAGTTCATAATAGTCCACTACTGTACATAGGTCTTATATGTTTTTAACTTTAGATACTATTGTTTTCCGCCGCAGGTCTAGGTATTTTACGCCTGAAGTAATCGAAATGCTTATTTCGATTACTTAAGGATTCTTAAATGGCGGTCTCTATCGGAAAAAATAAGATCTTTTTGTCTATTACGACACCCACGGGACTAAATAAGATCATGGATTCACTTTAACTGCGCCACCCCCACACGGCATTTTCTTTTTGTAGTTTAGTTTTTCATTTGTATTTTGTTTTTAAAATATTTTTATTATAAAAATTCCAAACGTTTGGGAATTACATTATTTAATTGTAAACAGATATTAAAGAAGAGACGTCTAGTATATCCAGGAAGTATCAGTTATCAATAAACTAGAATGCCTTATAATCTTAGATATCCAAAGAATAATGATGTTCTGATTATTTTACTAACGCCAATAATATCTTTAAATATTATGAAATTAACAAGTATTTAGGTCATATAATTGTGCCGATCTACATGTCGCAGCCAACTAGCTTAATTATCCTTTCAATTAACAGCGTAGATTTTTTATTTTTAACTAGCAGCCTGAATGATATTTAGCCCATGTGTGGAT